TTCTCTCCTTCACTCCTTTTTTTCTTTCTTTCCTTCTCTCCTTTCTTTAATAAAAAAAAAATCGTCTTAAAAAAATAAATGAATAAAAAAATAAAAATACAAAATTAGCGGGGCATGATGGCATATGCTTATAATTCCAACTACTTGGGAGGCTGAGGCAGGACAATTGCTTGAACCTAGGAGGCGGAGGTTGCAGTTAGCCAAGACTGTGCAAGTGCACTGCACTCCAGCCTGGGCAACAAGAGTGACACTCCATCTCAAAAAGAAAAAAATAAAGTACATGTGGCTGGGTACAGTGGCTCACACCTGTAATCCTAGCACTTTGGAAGGCCAAGGCAGGCGGATCCTCTGAGGTCAGGAGACCAGCCTGGCCAACATGGTGAAGCCCCATTTCTACTAAAAAAAAAAAAAAATTAGCTGGGCATGGTGGTAGGCATCTGTAGTCCCTAGTCAGGAAGCTGAGGCAGGAGAATCACTTGAACCTGGAAGGCAGAGGTTGCTGTCAGCCAAGATCATGCCACTGCACTCCGGCCTGGGAGACAGAGTGAGACTCTGTATAATAAAAAAAAAAAAAAAAAAAAAAAAAAAAGGACACCTAACTGCTGTTAGAATAAGGTTAAGATCGATCTTAACTGCTTCTTGCTAAGGGGGTGGGGAGGCTGTTTTGGGGAAATGGCAGTCAGAGCTTCCCTAGAGGCCTATCTACGGGTTTCCAGCAGAAGGGGCTCACATAGGAGGCCCTGGTTACATGACTGTGTGGAATTTGATGGCCTGAAGGCAAGAACAGACAAACTGGATTACTAGAAAACATGATTGAAAATTAAACAAAAGGAGGCATAAGGGCAGCTAAAAAATTCCGAGGTCTTTTACCAGTTTGCACAGGGAGAGGAAGGACAAAAGCCTGTTTTTCCTTAGCTCAATCTTAAGCCAATCAGTTTAAAGTTTAGGAAATTATCTCTTTCCAGTTTGGAGGCTGCATCTGAGGGGAGCATCCCATAATATGGAGACACAGTTACCTATCAGTGAAGAGAAGACTGAGGAGGAGAAAGGAATAAAAAAGCATTTTTTTTTCAAAGGAGTCCCAGGGTTCAGCATGCATTCTAAAGGGGTACAGACTGAAGACGAATGGCTTTGCATCCCTGAGTTCTGGTGACTTCGACAGGCATTGCCGTGAGTTCAAAAGCGGCTTGATCCCACGAAGCAGGGAGGCCTAGAGAATATGAATTATCAGCTCTCACCTATGTCTCTTTCCCACCTACTGCTAGTAGCCTTGGAGTTCCCTAGGCCTCATTTATGCCATGGATATGAACATGGCCTTCATCCATGCAACAGGAAGCTTGGGGTTGGCTTAATTGGCAGGAATCAGCCGCACTCATCCTGCACTGTGTCTTTTAGCCTCTGTTGTTGTCTGCCTCTGGATCTCTTAGATCCAGTTTTCTTTCCCAGAGCTTTGACCCAAAGCTTGGAATTGAGTCTGGGACAAAAATGTGTCTCAGAAGATTGCATGGCCTACTTATCATAAGCCAAATCTAAGGTGAAACTGTGGAACTGAGTCTTCCTCCAACAAAGGAGAGGAAAAGATTTCTTGTGACATGCCAAGCTGACAGGTAGCTATAGTTATGCTTGCTAGGATTTGGGTGACTGGTGCTTGCCTTTGGTTAGTTCCCTTGATGTTACTTTCCCGAAAAGAAACCTCTGGGTGATGGGCACACTACTTATTCCCTATTTATTCCATCACCAGATAGGATTGCAGGATAATTGCTCAGAACTAGAGTATCAATCTAGATTTCTACATTACTCATCCATCTAGTTCTTTCAGAGCTGCAGACAGAGATTGCTGGTAGGGTCACAGCAGGGTTAATCTAAAATGTAGGCAAAAACTTAAAAACAACTACTGAGTTTAGAATTTAATGACAGATGTATAAGTTTGTTGAATTTTGGAACATAATTTCTCTCTTTCCAGTCCTCACTTTTGTTAAAAAAAAATTATGATGGGTTGTTTGCAAAACAGACTTCAGTTTTATACTTGGCTTGATTATTTGCATAAAGTGCAGCAAGAATAATTGTTTCTACAAAGGCCTTTTGGATTGGCTTTGATGGAAATTTGCTCCACAAGCAATCTCAGATAAGACCTTTTAAGCCCAACCCAGCGATGGGTTCGCATCCTCAAAAACCTGTGATTTGGGTGACCCTCTCCTCTTGCGGTCCCAAAATAAGCTTGGAGCTCTTAGACCTGTTAGAAAGTGACATTCTTTACTGAACACAAGTCAGAAACCCTGTATAGAGACTGTGTAGAGGAGGGTATGAGGCCAGTCTCCCATGGAGCTTTTATTGGCTCTGTAAGTCAAGCTTGACTCCTGAAAGGGAAGCATATCCTTCCAATCAAAGCCTTGGTAAAATAACTTTTTTTTTTTTCAATTGTGTCTTAATGCAAAAGAAAAATGGATTTTTATGGCACTGACGTAAACAACTAAATGCCATAAGAATACTGGGTTTCCAAATTCTAAAGGAACCCGGCAAAGGAAAAATTTGCTCCAAATTTGATCACAGGAGTGTATACCTTACTTAATAATTGAAAGGCTGTAAATAGCTCAAAATAAGTTTCCTTGACTCTGAAAAATGAAACATGGATCAGCAATATTCCAAGCAAATGTCAAAAAAGGTTGCTTCAGCTTTGAGTTCAGTCCATTTAGTTAACTCTAGTTTTGTTTTTTATTCATGAACATTTCATCTCTTTGAATCCTATGCATTTTCCTTTATTCCAATGTACAATCTCTATAGTTATCAGAAGCCTGTATTTGAGAGCACCTGTTAAAATTCTATAGCTCATTATAAACCAACTTTGAAAGGATTAAAATAAGACAACAATTGTCTGTGACTAGCAAAATGTCCAGGTGGTTACAGCTAGAAAGACAATTGGGAAAGAAATTTGATTATCTCTGTAGTTTATAACAACATAACAACCTTAATTATGATTGATGGAATATACTTAGACATTAGAATTTCAGGAATCCCATACAATCTTGGAACATATATTAGCATTAATTCAACAAGACATACCCTAAGGAAGACTGAACATTATTTTGGCAATCCGGTGTACCTGAACATGTCAAATAATCCTGTTTACCTTTCTTTTCAGGACACTTGAGGGGCCCTCTGAAGTATTCTCAAAGCCAGGTGCCAGGGAAGACAATTTGAAGTTTGATTTTGGTTAAACTACTAAATGTTCGAGGTTTAAAACACTTGATATTATGAAACAGAATTCCAGATTACCAGATTATTTATTTTGCCAAAGCGATGACTCAGAAATTTTAAAGCAGCAAAAACCTTTTATAAATCTTTCTAAATTTTGCCAAAGAGCAGTTGAGCATTTTAAGAATACCATGTTGTGATTTGCAGGAAAAACACATAATACCCTTTTTTGAAGTTAGTCAAAATGTTCAGAGAAACTCTTCCGAAAGACTAATTTCCACCACTTCTTTAAACCTTCAGTTTTCTAATTTAATGCAAAACAATCCTTTAACCCTAGACCAAAGTTTACATTTCCATGCCTTCTTATAACCTTTCACTAAAATAACACAATACATTTTACTGTTCGTACACACCTTACATGCAAATCCATTTCTAGAAGTTTCAATTAACTCCTAACAATTTTTAACTCTAAGGTAAAACTTGGTAAGTTGCCTTAATTGTGCGCTAACTGCCTCCAAGTTTTGCCTACTTAGTCAAGTCCGTGGTTAGCTCTATTTGTCCGCAGGCCTTACCAATTGTGAAGCTGGCAAGTCAGATAGTTCTCCAAACCCAAAGAACGGTTTGTAACCTCAAAAACACTTAGGAAACCTTGCACCTGACCTGCATTTTACTAACAGTCTTTAGGGCTGACTTTTTTTTCTCAAAGATTAAAGTCACGTGAACTGAAAGGCACCACACATTTTATCTCCCCTTTAAAAACATATTAGTTCCAAGTGCTTTTCTTTAGGCCAAATTAGAGCTCTTTTTACAGACATCACACACAGACAAAAAAAATTCAGTCGCTGGGTGGGGTCCTTTAAGAGACAGGGCTAGGAAAACATACAGATACAATACCAGAAAGAAACTTATTCCCTAAGACAGGATTGCTAAACGAAGCCTGCAAACCAGAGTTACAAGCCATGCCCTCAGAATGTAAAACAAGAGGAAAGCTTGATTTCACAACCATAACTTTGCAGAAAATATAGACAGTGATAGTTGCTGGGGAGGGGGGCCTGGCCTAGTAGAACATCTTCCAGAAAGAAAACAAGAGAACTTTAAAAGTTCACTTGCTGACAGGATAGAGAAGGGGAAAGAAAAGAAACAGTTTTCAAAGACCTGGAGAAGAACCTCTTATTCTTATGCAACTGGTTCCTCCGCCAGGGAGAAAGTTTAAGCTACAGTCCCAGGGAGTGAAACCCCTTGGCTGGGGAAGGGGAAGGCTGTAGTTGCTTGTGGCTGGGAACCAGTTAGCCTGCTGTGGGGGACGCTTGGGCCAGGCGCCCCAGCCCTGCATGGAGTGGGGAGCGGCTGCGGCTCACCAGTCCCTCTGGAAAAAGTTAGGAAAAGGCCATGAAAAGGCCCCCTAACCCCCAGGAGCGACAGGGGGTGGGGTGAGGTTTCCCATAAGCTCAGAAATTCCAAGATGAAAAGGCTTAGGGTGAGTGGTTTGTTTTCCAAGACAGTCTAGCTCTGTGGCCCGGGCTGGAGTGCAATGGAGCGATCTTGACTCACTGCAACCTCCACCTCTCGGATTCAAGCAATTCTCCTGCTTCAGCAGCCTGAGTAGCTGGCGTTACAGGTGCATCACCACACCTGGCTGATTTTTGTATTTTTACTAGAAACAGTATCACCTTGTTAGCCAGGCTGGTCTCAAACTCCTGACCTTAGGTGATCCGCCCGTTTCGCTCCCCCCGCCCCAAGTGCTGGAATTACAGGCATGAGCTACCACACCCGGACCAACAGTAAGGTTGAGTCCCCATTTCGCTCACCTCTTCTCGAGCTCCCACGTTGTGCGCCAATAATGATGCAGGAGTTTTCCTTAGTTCAGCTAAGACGGTTCTTTTCTATCCCATGGCCAGGAAAATTTACCCTTGGAGACGGTTTAAAGGGTGAATAAATCAGGGTTTTATTGGGTGAAAAGAGGAAAAAGGTGGGGGAAACAGGGATCCGCTGCCAGGCCAGAGCCACCTGCTAGAGGCTTCCCGCTGGCCTTTGCAATCCCAGGTTCCACACAGGAAGAGGAGGGGCCAGACTCCTCGCTGCTGAACTTCCTGAGGCTACACCTCAGTGGGCAGGCGGGTGGGAAATTCTCCGCGAAACCCTTCCACCTGGCTGTTTCAGGGGCACACACCTGTAATCCCAATGCTTGAGGAGGTGGAAGAGGATCACGGGCAGGCCAGGGGAGTGAGACCAGCCTGAGCAACACAGCAAGACTCTATCTCTACAAAAACATTTAAAAATTAGCTAGGCATGGTGGTACGCACCTGTAGTCCTAGCTACTTGGGAAGCAGAGGTGTGAGGATTGGTCGAGCCCAGCAGTTCGGGGTTGCAGTGGGCATTGATCACAGGACCGCTCTCCAGCCTGGGAAGCAGGCTGACACCTCATCTCTGGAAAGAAAAAAAAAAAGAGGAAGAAAAGAAAAGAAAAACCCAGGAATCTCTAAGATGGTTAAGTTTCAGCTTCACTAAGGAGTATTTAGAAAAATTTATACATTTTGCTAAGAATGAATTTTAGGCTTCCTTTTCCACAGTGCCTAATCTCTCCACAATGCAGGATTCGTATCCTAAGCAACTGGTTGTCTGAAATCTATACATGAAAATTCACATATTTTTAAAAGGAAGTAAATAAGTGGAATTAGACCTGAGCATGATCTAGAAACTTGTTCTTATGATTCTGAACGCTTGTTTCATAGATGCTTCTGAGTTTTAGTTTATTTGAAAAAGAAATTACTATTGTCAAACATCCCCAAAATTTAACTTTGTGATTGTGAATATTTCAGAGCACACCAGCAACCTTATCACTGATGAAATCTTTATTAGCTGTGGAATAAAATCCTTGATGAAAACCATTTGCCCAGAAAATGCTGGATATACATATCTACTAAAATTATAATCAGGTTTTTTTGTTATCTCTTTTACAACTATATACATTTCTTAAAGTATTACTAGGCACTAATGAAACTTGTAGAAATTTAAAGTAGAAATTAGATTAGTGGTCACCAATAATTGTAAGTCTGAAAGATAAAATTTGCCCATTCCATTTCATTCGATCTAGGTCCTGTTTATCAAGACTCTTGCTTTTTTTGTTGTTATGTTTTGTTATATTTCAGCATTTAATAAATCAGTTTCACCATAGTCTTGAAAACTAGGACAGTAGAAGGGTTTGTTCCTAGTCAGATGAGCAAAGAAAACGTAACTCATTTTAGTATCTTTTTCGTGTAATTTGGGGTTTTGTGGCCATTCATATCTTTCCCTTTCTAACAGTTGCTATTTATTATTGTCTAATTTTTACTGAGTCCTATCATATTAATTAACTAAAGTAATTGTGATGAATAATTTACCTTTCTCAAGTGTCTACATGTCCAAAAATTTCTCAAGTGTCTACATAGATGAAATGAACCATCCATTCATTTTTTACCTTCTTCATGCTAAAGTTTCTTACAGTGATTTGTTTAACAGTGGTGATTTGGTTTTATTCTCTGGTTAAGGGGAATGAAATTATATGAGACAAAAATTACACACTGCATTTGGATTATTACATTGTTAGAATTTCTTAGATGACTTATCAGAATTTGAAAAGATGAATGTATTCTTTCATATTCCAGAGATCTTTGCACAATCCAGGTACTACTATATTAGAACACTGTACTTACACCCTACACTCTGGCCCAGAATCACCTTTTATGAAGCCTACCAAACCTCATTTTAAGTGCAAAATACTGCCTCTGGGATCAGTAGTCTCAGTCCAAATCTGTGTTTTGATATAAATTGAATCTGATAGTGGTAAAGATTGCAGTCATTTGGGGGAAGTCTTAGGTTGTGAGGAGGGAGCTGAAGAGAAATGGAGACATGATATGCCATGAAAATTTAATTCTCTGTGTATACGTGATTTTCAGTGTACTTCAAGAAGTAGATCTTTTCATAATTAATGTAAGTAACATTAAGGGTATGTGGTTACTCTTTATTGGGCATAAATGAGCTTTTAAATTTCTTAAGAAATCTGTGGAGATTGATGTATGGCAAATTATTCTTATCAGGACATCAAGTTCATCTTCACAACTTTAACCTTCTTTTAGATTCCTTTACAAATAAGGTTTCAGAAGGTAGTCTCTGAACAGGTTTTATCCATTTCCCAAGCAGAGCTTATTTTCTCTGCATCAGCGAACTTGTCATGATAATCAACTTTTTTTGTCCCAACCATCAATCACTCTTGATTACAGCTGGGTAGAAGTTCTGTTCTGTTGATCAGCTCATCAGTGCACATAATATTACACCTGGAGGCCAGTACAAACCATTCCCCGAGGGGAAAAGCATTTTCCTTCAAGGCTTTTGTCAATGGTTTTATCATTTATATTTAGGTCTCATTGAGTTGTCATGCCTATCTTTGACTCTACCTTCTCTCTCATATAAAATATTCTACCAAAATAGCGCTCAACGTTTGCTTGATTATTTGTGCTATAGTGTTATTATTCTGCTTTTGCCTATTTAATTCAAAAGGAACTTATAATCTATTGTATTCTTATTATCATAGAAAGCTTTCTCCAGCTTCTAATGAAGATATTGTAGAAACTAAATACATATGAATTATAATTCAATGAATATTCAGTAATTCTGTAAAAAGCAGTTTAGCCTATGTATTACTAGAATGTTTGCAAGTCTAATTTTGTTTATTTTTAATGGTTTCTTAAGTTAGGTTTTTGTTTTGGCTTGGGCTAGGGAATATTTATCTTTAATCTTCATCTTGTTTTAAGTAAAACTAACTAGCTATATTCATGGTTTAAAAAGACACTGAGAAGTAAATATTTTTAAATCAATTACTCAAAGTCAGCTCAATTGCTCTTATGCTGTGTCTGTATTATAGAAAAATATCTAATTTCTCCAATCCAACCCATATTTCTTAAGACAGTAGCATTAGCAGAAAAGTTACTAGAGCAATGACAAAATATTATCATGGTAGGACATTTATTGGTTTCATAAAATATTTAAAATAAATATATGATTTTTTAAAACATTTAATGTATTCTCTGTCTTCCATAAAGAAACTATTTTTCTTTTTCTTGTATTTTGTTGTATTTTTATCACTTTATAAAATCTAAAACAATAATTTAGAGAAGTCTTTTAACATTTAGAGTACACAGCATAAAGAAAACAGGCTAGCATATTAAATTACAGAATAACTTGAATTTAATTAGAAATCATGTCTTTCTATTGAAAGGCCAATTACAGAAATTAAAATTTCTTTTATGGTTGGACTGCCTATAACAGTGATACATATCTGTTTTTGACTGAAATAGACCAACTAAGAAAGTTCTGTGTTTTTATTTTCTACTGGCATTTAGATATTATTGGTTCTTAATTTAATCTGTGTAACAAAACCAGGGCAAATGACATCAATTAATGAGAAAGTGGTCTATGTAGAAATGTATAAGCCACACAGGACTAAATAGGAAATCCATGTTTTGAAAAGCTGAGCTAAACACTCAAACTGGCTCACTGATGTCTCTGTGGTCTTGAATCTTCTTGGGATAGGAGTTGATCAAGTTTGTCCAGGATTGCATTATTATTATTATGCAGGTTTAAAAATCAACATGAGCCAGGCATGGTGGCTCCTATAATCCCAGCATTTTGGGAGATCAAGGCAGGTGGATCACCTGAGGTCAGGGATTCGAGACCAGACTGACCAATATGGAGAAACCCTATCTCTGCTAATACAAAAATTAGCTGGGCATGATGGCACATGCCTGTAATCCCAGCTATTCAGGAGGCTGAAGCACAAGAATTGCTTGAACCAGGGAGGCAGAGGTTGAAATGAGCTGAGATCACACCATTGCACTCCAGCCTGGGCAACAGGACAAGACTTCCTCTCAAAAACAAAAACAAAACATTAACTTGAACATTTTGTTGCACCCACTCCCTTTGTTCCATATTAGCAGTCAGCAAACTGGGTCTTCTCCTGAAGAGTTAGTCTTAACTAGTTCATCTCTTCTCAGACTAGAGAGACTAGGGCAAATGGTTTGCCACAAGGAACTTGTCATCTTAGCCCACAGTATGATTTTTATACATGAAACAGAACTTTTAAACCACAGTGTATCACCTAATGTTTGACTTTGAATAAGCCCAATGTAAGTGGCAAAGTTTGTGTATTTATAAAACACTCAGATTGACTGATAAATGTATTTATGTATTTACTTGTAGACAGTTTGATATGAAATGATAAATCTTTAGTTTAAATAAATAAAGAAGAGTTTCCCTTCCCCACTCCATGCACCCAATCACTGTTTTTCCCCTCTGGAGATATGGAGATATTCAGTTCACACTGCAATTCTATTAGCACATTACATGTTGGCAGAACATTTGATGCAGATTTAGGAAGTATCACAGTGGTGGTGGGATCCAGTTTCTAAAATTTTGACCCTGCTGTCTCCTCTAACTTGAAAAAAGTTGCCAATATTTAAAATAAAAAATGCCAAGGATTGACACCTCAGTGGAAGCAGAGACTCCACCAAAGCTATTTCATACACAGAATCGAGTTTCTTTTGTTTTTAAACAAACTCCTAGTTCACTGAAGAGTATAAAAGAGTGAAAGTTAACATGTCACACAACCCATCCTGTCTCACGAAGAGAGATACATTCTCTCAAAAAGGATTCCCAATTCTGCTTCACAGAAGAAATGTTTCTGTATCTGGAAATGGAGGAAGGGAGTAAGTTATCAATACAGACTTCCAGATGACCCCCACATTGGTATCTACAGCCGATTTTCTCTCTCAACTCCATACTCAAATATTTGCCTGCTCACTCAATATCTGCACTTGGTTACCTAATATATTCCTCATACCTAATATCTCCAAAACTAAAGGCCATAGCTCAGTCCTACAAAACCAGAGAATATTCCTCTTATAATGGCAACTCCAACCCTCTGTTTCCTCTAACTAAACATATTGGAGTCATTCTTACTCTTATTTCACAGGCTAGATTCAATCCTACACAAACAATATTAGATATACCTCCAAAATATATCCAGAATCTGACTGCTTCTCACCATCTTCATAACACCCCTCTGGCCCAAGCCACCACTGTCTCTCATCTGTAAAATTCTTCGTAATCATTCTCCCTGCCTCTACTCCTTATGCTCATCATTTTAAAAATATAAACCAAGATCAGGTGTCTTTTCTGTTGAAAATCTTCTAATGGTGTTGCATTTCATTTAGATTAAAAGGCAGAATCCTGTGATTTCAGAGGCCTGAAATCTAAATTAGTTCTATGAAACATGGCCTCTGGAAGCCTTTTGTGCTTCATCTTCTCCCACTGCCCAC